AATGCAGAATTCCCTTTATTAACTCCTTCCTCCCTTGCTCTGTGCAGCCCAACGTCAGCCATGCACCCTTAAATCCCACTTCAATAACAAAACCAACATTTCTAAGTTGCTCTTACCCCCCAAACAGAGCTTTGCTCTCTCTGTCCCAGCCCAAAATGAGATTTTTGGCCGCTCCTTGCTGAATTTCTCCCTCTCCATTCCCTTCCAGCACGGAATATGCCATCAACAAGCTGAGGCAGGAGGGCAACGAGGTGGGCATGTACGTGCTGAGGTGGAGCTGCACCAACTTCAACCACATCCTGATGACTGTCACCTGCCTGGAGGGCTCTGAGGTGAGCAGGGATCTGCTCCCTTTGTGCTCAGGGCACCCTCCCCGAGCTCTGGGCAGGGAATTGGCTCTGCCTCCCAGCCCTTGCTGCCTTCTCTCCCAATGGGATTCCAATTTAGCTGCTAGAAAATGGAAAAGTACAAAACCATGGCTGATTCCAAGTCCGGCACCTGCACAGATAGCAGTGTCCTTGGGCCTGGCTGTGGTCGTATAACAAACAGTGAAAGAGGCATGAGAAAAGAGACATGTAACCCCCCTAAGGAATGAGGAAGAGTTGATGGCAGAGTTTAACCAATAGATTGCTTGGCTTACAGAATATTCATAAGCTTATTATTTGCTGTATAAGTGTCTGATGCTCTCTTCAATAAACGGAATTTGCTTATCACTCATATTGAGTGTCTGAGTCTCCCCTCACCAACAAATGGCTCGGCCCCGACAAAGGCCCACATTTTTTCTCTGTGACAATTAAATCCAATGGGATAAATTAAATTAATTAGCTCCATTCCTCCCAGTCACACCGTGCAGGGACGTGAGAAAAATGGAGCATTTTTGTCGAAGTGAGGGAGCGACCACCTCTGACCCCGTTTATTCACTCAATCAGTCACTTTTTATAATCATGTTAATTAAGTTCATGCATATTGCAAAATCTGAGCTCCTGACAGGCTGTGGAGAAAACTTCAGCTCCTCCTTTTGTTTACCATACCTGAAGTTAGTTTACTGAAACCAAGATCAGTGTTCACACCATGATATGGAAGGTTCTCAAAACCTTCATATCTGTTCCCAGAGCAGCCAAGGACAGAACAGCCTGAGAATCCTGTTGTTTATGTAAAAGGTGGCTGAGAACCTAATTATTTATAGGATCAAGCCTGGGAAAGGCTGCTTTTACAGCAGGCTTCTATATTTCCCTCAGCTGAACACCTTCATGGCCTCTTTCTTTAGGCCATGCTTAAACCAGGCTCTCCACACATTGGAGAATTTGTCACTTCCCCTTGAGCATGGTGCAGCTTCCCTGGAGCCTTTCTGGGCATGGCTTTAATTCCCTTGCTGGATTTTATTCCCACACCACCCTCAGCTGGAAGCCTGCAGCTGGTTTGGAAAGATATTTAAAGTGTTCACACAAGAATAATAACACATAATAAATAAATAGTCAATAATAGATAATAAATAATATAAAAAATTATAACGACATAAATCTTTCTCTTAGCAAAAAATGGTCATGGAATCAATGGTGAGTCAGGAAGGGATATTTGATATTTGGTTTATCTCCTGGAGATATTTTTTAAAAAAAAAGATGATCAGCTCTCTGTTTTAACAGTAAAACAAGAAAGGAATTTTCCCTTGGAAAAGGGGGAAGGGGGAGGTGACCCAAAGCTGCAGAGGGGAGATCCTGAGAGCTCCTGGCATGGGGAAGTTCAGGAGTTCAGCCCTTCCCCAGTGAACCTGGGGGATCTCAACCCCAGCTGAGCAGTCTGGGGGGGGGAGAGGGAGTTTTGCTATTTTTAAATTGAGATTTTGAAACCCTGCTCCAGATTCTGCAATTCTTGACCAAACAAAGAGAAAATTCCTCCAGAAGAGGCAACACTTCTGCATAACCTCAGGCTCTGCAGACAAATGAAAAGAAAAGCTGTAATTTGAGCTTTGATTGCATCTTTATGTTGTTGCTCTTCTCTTTGAGCCTTCTGGGAGTGAAAATTGCAGGAATTTTGGGGTTTTTTCTGCTTTGTTGCAGTTTGATTGGAGGACCTTGACTTAGGAGCAGGGGATCAGTGATGCCAAGGTTTTGGGAAGCTTTGATTTACAAACAATTCCTTCACTCCAGTGATCCTATTTCCTTTCTTTTCCCTCCCCCCCCAGGTGATGAATAACTCAGGCCCCTACAAGAACTTCCAGATCGAGGTGAAGAAGGGAGGGTACTTCCTCCATGGCTCCAACAAATCCTTTGCATCCCTGAAGGACCTCATGGAGCACCTGAAGGGGCAGATCCTGCGCACAGACAACATCAGCTTCACCCTCAAGAGGTGCTGCCAGCCCAGACCCAGAGGTAGCCTGGCCTTGCAGGGTTTTCTTGTTGCAAGGGATCAATCTCCAGACTCTCAGAGTGTATTTTAGTGCTGTATCCTGGTGTGAAGCTCTTAAAAAAAAATTTAAATATTTTTCTTTCTCTGGGGAGGATTTTTGTCAAGATGCCATGGGCAGGTTTGAGGAGGGGAAAAGAGAGTTGGGATCTCCTGGTTTGCTGTCCCTGTGAGCTGCTGTTTAATAACTCAACTGCACCAGGCAGCAGGGAAGGGTTTTGGTCCCAAACCCGATGTCCTGAAGAGCCTGGTGGCAGGAAATCATCTGTGAGGTGCCCTCTGAGGGACAATGGGGCAGTGCTGGGAGCTGCCATCCCTCTCTGCAGCTGTTTGCTGTGAACTCTGAGCCTTGCCCTGGCCTTGGTGGGCCAGAGGAGGCTCAGTGGGGGGATTGTGCTGAGCTGATAATGGTTCCCTGTTGGAGCAGGGGAATAACTGAGCCCCATCCATCACCTGCTGCTCTGGGGCTTTGGGAGAGCCCCTGAGCCCTCACTCTGCACCCAGAGCTGGGTCAGGCTCTGGAGCAGGGGCACGCTGCACTGCTGATATTTTGGTTTCATTTTGATGGCTGGATTGGGGATAAAACGAAATAAAAATGGTCAGGGAGTTGATTGCCCCCTTCAGCTCCTCCCTGGCTTTGGCTGCAGCAGGATTCAGTGCATGTTCCCTGTTCTGTCCCTTCCCTGGTGGGGTTTTTTTCCTTCTTTTTGAATATTTCATCAGATATTGACAAAGAAGTGAATGCAGGGTGCAGGGCTGAAGCAGGCTGTGGTGATTCCTGGTGACTCCAGGATTCCAGAGGATGATTTAGCCCAGTGCCAGGTGCTGCTCACAGCAGGAGGAAGCCCAGCTGCCCACTCACACCCCAATCCCAGGGAATGATGCCAGGAGGGCAGAATTCCTGTGCAGAACTTGTGCATCTGCCCTGCAGCAGTGGGAAGTGGATTTTTGAGTCTGTTCCTTCTGATTCCCCATTCCCAGCTGGATTCCAGTGCCCTGGGAGCACTGTTGGTGCTTCCCAGAGTAGAGGGAGTTTGGAAGGGGATGAAGAGGAAATGAGATTTCCCCTTGCACACTGCAGAGGAGATGGCAGGGGGGGATAGAGGATGTTTTATTCCATTTTATCCCATGTACAGCACAGCTATTTTCTCTTTCAATCTTTGTGCAGAAAACTCTGTTCAGTTGTTCAAAATCACCCTGACCTGGCTGATACTAACTCTGTATTTAAAATACAAACACGAAACTGTGCTTTGGTGATTTCTCTGTTGAATGAGAAGAAATCAAGGCCAAGTTTATTTCCCTCCCCCCCTTTTTGGGGGGATTTTATGCCTTTCCATCCATGTTGGTACTGGGAGGGGGTGTCGGGTTTTTGGCTGTTTGGAGGGCCTGGAAAGGCCCGGGGTGGCCTTGGGGCAGCCGCGTATCAAAGGACGAGAAGAGGCTTCAGTTCTTCTTTCGGTTTTTATGTTTATTAATTGTTTATCTAAAAGATTTTCTTTCAGCCCGACAGAGCTCTGCTCAGCAGCCAGCCATGAGCACACTGTGCCGCCCTCCGGGCGGTCACCTATCTTTATACCCATTGTTACGTGTACAATATTTATCATTTTTCCCCAATACCATTTATTCTTATTGCTCGGTGCACTTTTAGTAATGACCAATCCCAAAGTGCCACCATCACCACAGAAGATGGAGGAGAAGAAGAAGAAGAAGAAGGACAGGACACGCCCCAATTCCTCCATCTTACTTCTCTAAACCCCCCTGTACAGAAATCCTAAACCCTGTGTCTCACTCTCTAATTAACCAATCCCTTCACCATTCACCCCGGTGAAACCCTCCTATCCTCATACAGGTGTCGTCTCCCGTGTAGGATCAAAGTCCAGCCACCAGACACTTCTGGAACATTCCAGGACTCCCGGGCCCCCCAAGGGTGCTCTCGGTGGCTCGGCACCTCAGGACTCAGATCCTGAGATCCCACAAGGGGGGAATGCATTTTCTCTGGAAAGCTTTAAGGATATTTTCTGCCCCTGCCTTGCAGAAATCTCCAACCTGCTGGTGGCCACCAAGAAGGCCCAGGAGTGGCAGCCCGTGTATCCCATGGGGCAGCTGAGCTTCCACCGCATCCGCAAGGAGGAGATCGTGCAGGTGGGAGCCTGGGGGGGGGGCTGGCACGAGGGAGCCCCCAGAACCTTGGGGGATCATCCAAAGCTTGGAATCAAACCCAGGCTTTGTTCTGACACCTTGGGAACGGCTCCCAAACTGAGGTGCCAGAAGCGAGGATGGGGATTTATGAAATAAATGTGTATTTTTAAAGCAGAGACATGTTAGGCTAAGTACAGGAAAGTTTAGAGTTTTAGATTTTAAGATATAGAAAAAATATGTGTAGTTGCAAAGGTAACAAGGAGTTTAGAATGCAGCACTGTAGGTTTTCTATGACATGTTTGGCTAAGAAAGCTCACAGGAGTCCATAAGACCAAATGTATGAGGATTGTGCAGGAGATAAGGATATTTGGGACAATATTGTACAGTAAAAAAGGTGAGGTGTTCAAAAGCTCTGAGCAGTCAGAATTCTGTGTTTAAGCCTCCCCAAAATTTCAGAGTTCCCCTTGATTGTAGTTACTTATTCAGGTCACCTGAATGAACCTCAGCAAACACACAAGGCCTTGATTACACTTAAATCAGATTTAATGTTGCCAAAAGAGCTCTTAAGTGATGCCCTTGGCTGCTTCTGAGAAATAAAAAGATATTGGGGGTTTTTTAGTTGCATCACTGCAGGCAGAGATTGGGTTTGGGTTGGTGTTTACAGTCAGCATCCTGCAAAAATATCCCAAGGCAGGATGTTATTTTGGAGGAAATTGCTTCCCCAAACAAAGCCTTGCAGTGAAATATTACTTCCTCTCACTTTTGGAAACACATTAAAGATCACCTCAGCAGCACTCTGTGAATAAGAGCCCCAGCTGTTGTTTATTCTTTTGTTTAGTCTGGGAGTGCTCAATCCCAGGGAACCTGTTGGGTGATGTGGAGGTGTAATATCCAGGGAATTCACGTGGGGAGGGTGCTCAGAGCTTGGTACCTCAGGTTTGGCTTTTCTATTTTCACACTCTGTGCTGCTTTAGTGTGTGGGGCTGGGCTCACATCAGGGATGCTGAGCTCTGTGCACAGAGCAGGAGACAAAACAATTCCTGCTCCAGCTGGGCACCAAGGACAAATGACCCAAATCTCAGCCCAGAGCACAAACCCCGTGGGCTG